AGGGTGAAAGAAACTCTGCCCATTGTTTCTCGCCGGCGCCTGGGATCGAACCCAGGACCACAGGATCACAAGTCCAGCGTGCTGTCCGCTAGGCCGACCAGCTCCCAAAGCCGGTTTAGCATGGGTTAAGAGATGGCAAATCATGCCTAACAGGTTTAATTGAGTTCTATGACCAGGCAACAAAAATTAGGCAACAGAGAGAGGGCTGGAGAGACTGCATATTTCTGGACTGCCAGAAAGCCTTTGACACAGTACCACAGGACCACATAAGAGACTAGTGCACAAACTGGAGATGCAGGCAGGAGTGAAAAGGAATGTACTCCACTGGATAAGGGAGTACCTAAGCAACAGGACACAGCGAGTCACTGAGGGGTGAGGTCTCGGAGTGGCGGGGAGTCACCAGTGAAGTCCCACAGGGATTTGTCCTTGGACCTTTCTGATATACGTAAATGATCTCCCAGAAGGAATTTACTCGTTCCTCTCAATGTTTGCTGATGATGCAAAAATTATGAGGAGGATCAAGACAGAGGAAGATAGTATGAGACTACAAGATGACTGAAGGAATGGTCCAACAAAAGGCTACTAAAGTTCAACCCAAGTAAATGTACGATAATGAAACTAGGAGGAGCTAGGAGGCCAGACACTGGATACCGAAAGGGAGATGAAGTCCTTCACGAAACGGACAGAGAGAAAGATCTAGGAGTTGATATCGAGCCAAATCTGTCTCTTGAAGCCCACATCAAAAGAATAACATCAGCGGCCTATGCGAGGCTGGCTAACATCAGAACTGCTTTCAGAAACCTGTGTAAGGAATCCTTCAGAACCTTGTATACCACATATGTAAGACCAATCCTGGAGTATGCAGCCCCAGCATGGAGCCCGTACCATGTCAAGCACAAGACGAAGATGGAAAAAGTTCAGAGGTATGCCACTAGACTAGTCCCAGAACTAAGAGCCATGAGTTATGAGGACAGACTACGTGAACTGCCCCTCACATCACTGGAAAACAGAAGAGCTCGGGGAGACATGATCACCACATACAAAATTCTCAAGGGAATTGACAGGGTTATTTTGAGAGGTTATCTTGAGATGATTTCGGGGCTTTAGTGTCCCCGCGGCCCGGTCCTTGACCAGGCCTCCATCCCCAGGAAGCAGCCCGTGACAGCTGACTAACACCCAGGTACCTATTTTACTGCTAGGTAACAGGGGCATAGGGTGAAAGAAACTCTGCCCATTGTTTCTCGCCGGCGCCTGGGATCGAACCCAGGACCACAGGATCACAAGTCCCGCGTGCTGTCCACTCGGCCGACCGGCACCCCAGGGTACACAAGGATGGATTATTTAACACGGGTGGTACACGAACAAGGGGACACAGGTGGAAGTTCAGTACCCAAATGAGCCACAGAGACGTTAGAAAGAACATTTTCAGTGTCAGAGTAGTTAGTAAATGGAATGCACTAGGAAGAGATGTGGTGGAGGCTGACTCCATACACAGTTTCAAATGTAGATATGATAGAGCCCAGTAGGCTCAGGAACCTGTACACCAGTTGATTGACGGTTGAGAGGCGGGACCAAAGAGCCAAAGCTCAACCCCCGCAAGCACAACTAAGTAAGTACAACTAGGTGAGTACAGATGTGGTTTAGGAGTAAACATATTCGATTCACAGCCTTAAGATCCAGGTTCAATTCCCGGGCAGGGTGGAAACAATTTAGCATCCTTTCACCTCGTGCTGCTGTTCACCTAGCAGTAGATACAGATACCTGGAAGTTATAGAGCTGTTGCGTACCGAATCAAACCCGGTGGAGATTGACTGGGAACTAATCTTTCACTGTTCGCCCCCGTTCACCCAGCAGCAAATGGTGCTGGTCACCAAGGCCTGGCATACAGTTGCGTGTGGGTGTCTGAGCCACTGGAGGACATCAACATACAGGTCCTCGAAAGAGCGGATAACACTCACAGTTTCAGTACTGTAAACTCCACTGGTGAGGGGGGGGGGCAAGCGGCTTACAATGCTTGAGACGCACACATAAACCCGCCTGCCAGGCCTTGGGCACCTGGACTGGGGAATAGGTAGACCCAGCCTATACCCACCTGTGTAAAACTTGTAGGGTGAGGCTGACCATGAACTATGGGAAGGGAAAGTCTTGCTGTAGAGGGACGACACACCGGTGGTGTTATGCCAACTGTGTAAGAGGGCGACGCTGCACACCCAGGAAGCCAAACTCTACCATGCCCGACTCTCTCATCGTACAGCCTGGCTTGAAGGATAAACCTAAAGCGCTAAATGACGCCGGAAGGAGAAAGAAAGGACATGATCCAGATATATAAAATACTCAAGAAGAATTTAGGAAATAGAATGAATGTTTAGATCGAGGGGTAGCTTAACGAGGATACACATGGAAGCTAGATAAGCAGATGAGCCACCTCTTGAGCATAAGGCGAGTGAAGAAGTGAAACAAAGGGACAAGCTATGGGCTTCCTCCATCCATTGTCTTAAAAACAGATAGGACGAGAAACAAAGGAGGATCGAGGCACTGCATTATTCAACCGTCTGTTGAAAAGGCGGGGGCCCAGGAGATGAAGGCTGGTCTTGTAAACAGATAAGTAGACATTGTCTTACTCCGTCTCTGACTTTCTCTCTCTCCTCCTCTCCCTCCCTGTTCTTCACGCGGCTTTCATCCCAAACATCACAACGAAAAAAATACCATATGAAAGAACCGCCAAAAAGAAGTCAAAATTTACGAAGCCACCACAAGCCCAAATACGCCATCAATAGCCAGGTAACAATACAAGCGGAGCGATTCATCTGACATTGTACCCGAGGAGAGGGGCGAAGGAGTGCCCAGCTACACCCCCCATCTCTCCCTCACAAGGAATGCACAACAAAAACATTTCTAGATTGATTCGCAGAGATGCTAGAGAGACCATGCCAGCGCTGCATGCTAAAACAATGACGGCCAGGTGGACGAGGGGGACTGGGAGCTGTTCAAAACAATGACAGACTGATGACAGAGTACAAGACACACCCTTCCAGCGCTGACAGGGATGAAGATACCACAAGTATCGATTGTTGCACAAACAACGAACGCCCTGTCATAGCTATCTTTCAACGCAGCACAGCAACAAAACATAACTTGATTTGTGGACACACACACACACACACACACTAGATACATCTGCATCTATGAGAGATGTACGGGTTCAAGCTCCAATAGTGTGGGTAACATTTCAATCACTCGGAACATCGGAGATACAACGGACATTTGAGGCCTAGTAAATTTGAGACGGGAGTTCTAGTCTCCGGGGATCAAAAATACACACACACACACACACACACACACACACACACACACACACACACACACACACACACACACACACACACACACACACACACACACGCACACGCACACACACACACACACACACCAAACATCAAATAAATACCATGATGGCAAATAATAGATGACCACCTAAGGTCAAAAACGTCCTAAAACTGTGGATGGTCTGCCAATAACCCCAAGACACACTCGCCTCCCCACAACACGTCGATACCTGGTCACAGTCGAGGAGGGCGGGAGGCGATATTTATCAAGCAGGACTTTGAAGTAATTTACTAATCGTATTAATGGCCCAACTAACTTCTGGCGGGGGGAGGGGCGAGGGGGGGGGCAAATTAGGTTTGCTACTTTGGGACCCCAGTAATGAACTCCCCTGCTGCCTCGCCACCTATGGTTAACGAGCAGTGCAAAGAGGTGGGGGGGGCGTTGTTAATCCCTGGCACCCCTCCACTAACGCATGGTGCCCCTCACCGAGCACTGCATGGCACCCCCCTCTAACCTTATACCCACTCACTAACACCTGGCACCCCCACTAACCCCTAGCACCCCCACTAACCCCTAGCACCCCAGCCGGTGGCTGCCAGGGGTGGTGGCTGAGCCGGTGGCTGAGCGGACAGAATACTGGACGCGTGATCCTGTGGTCCCGGGTTCTATCCCGGGCGCCGGCGAGAAACGATGGGCAGAGTTTTTTTCTGTCTGATCCCCCTGTTACCTAATAGTAAATAGGTACCTGGGAGATAGTCAGCTGTCACGGGTTGCTTCCTGGGGGTGGAGGCCTGGTCAAGAACCGGGCCGCGGGGATACTAAAACCCCGAAATCATCTCAAGATAACCCCCACTAACCTTGTACCCACTCACTAACCCCTGGCACCCCCACTAACCCCCTGGCACCCCCACTATACACCAACCCCCCCAAAAATAAAGGGTCTAAAGGAATCAATCTTACCACTATATGCAAATAAGGCGACGACCCTACCACTCCTCCATGTCTCCACTACCTTCCCCACCTCCTCTCTACCTCCCTCCCCCCCCCTCCTCTAACTCCTTCCCTTACCCTCCTATACCTACCTCCCTCCCCCCCCCCCCCTCCCTCCTTCCCTACCTCCTTCCCTCCCCTCGTTTTCTGTCAATCTCTACAGCTGAGACAATTTTTTGTCTTCAGATCGCCTATTGGTCCAGTCCCTATGGGATTTTCCCCATGTCCAGTTACACCCAACAGACCTGGTTCCTATCCTTAGTCCCTAATTTTTAAATGAACTTCAGCTTGTTGCAATGCCAACTTTTCTCACCGAACTGAGGTGTGACAGAGCCTAATGGGCTTATAGGAACCTGCACATCAGTTGGTTAAAAGCCGAGAGGCGGGAACAAAGTGCTGAAGCTCAACCTCCATTAATCCCAATTAAGCGAGTACAATTACCTTTCACACGCACGTCTATGCGTGCGTGCGTGCGTGTGTGTGTGTTTGGTGGTGGGTGTGGGGGGGGGTGAGGACAGTTGCGTGCAGGTAAGGGGAGGCAGGTGAGGTCCCGGGCCCCACCTCTGGCGCAGACTTCAATGCTCTTGACATCTCTGCCATACTTACACACGAAGATTTATTGCCCACTAATACCTGGCTCCTCCGTCGCCGCTGCTCCTCCTCCTCCTCCACCACTACCTGCTCCTCCACCACCTCCACCACTACCTGCTCCTCCTCCTCCTTCTCCTGCACCACTACCTGCTCCTCCTCCTCCTCCTCCTCCTGCACCACTACCTGCTCCTCCTCCTGCACCACTACCTGCTCCTCCACCTCCTCCTCCTCCTGCACCACTACCTGCTCCTCCACCTCCTCCTCCTCCTCCTGCACCACTACCTGCTCCTCCACCTGCTCCTCCACCTCCTCCTCCTCCTCCTGCACCACTACCTGCTCCTCCACCTCCTCCTCCTCCTCCTGCACCACTACCTGCTCCTCCTCCTCCTCCTCCTGCACCACTACCTGCTCCTCCACCTCCTCCTCCACCTCCTCCTGCACCACTACCTGCTCCTCCACCTCCTCCTCCTGCACCACTACCTGCTCCTCCACCTCCTCCTCCTGCACCACTACCTGCTCCTCCACCTGCTCCTCCACCTCCTCCTCCTGCACCACTACCTGCTCCTCCACCTCCTCCTGCACCACTACCTGCTCCTCCACCTGCTCCTCCACCTCCTCCTCCTGCACCACTACCTGCTCCTCCACCTCCTCCTCCTCCTCCTGCACCACTACCTGCTCCTCCACCTGCTCCTCCACCTCCTCCTCCTCCTCCTGCACCACTACCTGCTCCTCCACCTCCTCCTCCTCCTCCTGCACCACGACCTGCTCATCCACCTGCTCCTCCACCTCCTCCTCCTCATCCTGCTCCACTACCTGCTCCTCCACCTGCTCCTCCACCTCCTCCTGCACCACTACCTGCTCCTCCACCTCCTCCTGCACCACTACCTGCTCCTCCACCTCCTCCTCCTCCTCCTGCACCACTACCTGCTCCTCCACCTGCTCCTCCACCTCCTCCTCCTGCACCACTACCTGCTCCTCCACCTCCTCCTCCTCCTCCTGCACCACTACCTGCTCCTCCACCTCCTCCTCCTGCACCACTACCTGCTCCTCCACCTGCTCCTCCACCTCCTCCTCCTCCTCCTGCACCACTACCTGCTCCTCCACCTCCTCCTCCACCACCTCCTCCTCCTCCTCCTGCACCACTACCTGCTCCTCCACCTCCTCCTCCTCCTGCACCACCACCTGCTCCTCCACCTCCTCCTCCTCCTCCTGCACCACTACCTGCTCCTCCACCTCCTCCTCCTCCTCCTGCACCACTACCTGCTCCTCCACCTCCTCCTCCTCCTCCTGCACCACTACCTGCTCCTCCACCTCCTCCTCCTCCTGCACCACTACCTGCTCCTCCACCTCCTCCTCCTCCTCCTGCACCACTACCTGCTCCTCCTCCTCCTCCTCCTCCTCCTCCTGCACCACTACCTGCTCCTCCTCCTCCTCCTCCTGCACCACTACCTGCTCCTCCACCTCCTCCTCCTCCTGCACCACTACCTGCTCCTCCACCTCCTCCTCCTCCTCCTGCACCACTACCTGCTCCTCCACCTCCTCCTCCTCCTGCACCACTACCTGCTCCTCCACCTCCTCCTCCTCCTCCTGCACCACTACCTGCTCCTCCACCTCCTGCACCACTACCTGCTCCTCCTCCTCCTCCTGCACCACTACCTGCTCCTCCACCTCCTCCTCCTCCTGCACCACTACCTGCTCCTCCACCTCCTCCTCCTCCTGCACCACTACCTGCTCCTCCACCTACTCCTCCTAGAGGGACCAGATCACACACCAGTCAGCGACTTGTGTTAATTTCTGGAGAAAGTAAAGAGGTTGAGAAAGGTGGAGCATCTTAGAGGACCAACTATGTAACAATACAACAGCACGGAGGGGAATTATCAGGGAAAGCACCAAGCCATTACGACTATATAGGAGTATGGCAGCAGGGAATTAGACAGGGGAAGTTGTGTCAGGGTGGACTGTATTCCCAAGATGGTCAAAATCATGTGACACTGTTCCTCATAAACTGGATAACATCAGCAGCATATGGGAAGCCGGCAAATATAAGAACATCATTTAGAAACCTAAATCAGTACTCCATGACAATCTACACAATATTTATTTGAGCATTACTGGAATACGCAGCACCGGCATGGAATACGCACCTTTCAAACCATAAAACCAAAACTGAAAAAGTAAAGAGGTTTGCAAGAAGACTAGTGCCAGAGCCAAGAGGATTAAGCTACGAAGATCAGCTAACGGAACTAATCTCAACTCTAGAGAAGAAATAAATTAGATATGATCACAGTATATTAGATACTTAAGGGAATAATCAATATAGACAAGGAATGCCTCTTTAAGTTGAAAGTAGAACACAGGAGTCATGAGGAGGCTGGAGACGCACACGAGCCAAAGAATGCACGAATGGTCAACAGGTGAAATACACTGAAGGAAGACGTTATGGAAGCCACCTCCAGCCTCATCTTTATGCCAGATTCGACAAAGAATGTGAACGTCAGATAGTTACATTACATCACAAGAGGTCCAACACGGCCAGTAGACGGGGCATGAGGAGCTACACGTACCTCACTTCCCTGTCGTCAGTGACAGGCAAGTGATACAAGTACCTCTTCCTCTTCCTCGTCTTTCTACTCTTCTGATTCTTCCTCCTCCTCCTCCTCCTCCTCCATCCATCAGCTGCTCAGTTAAGCAATTTTGAACAAATTACCGGGTGACAATATACGTGGGACCTCTGGATTGTTTCAAGTGTAGGTTAGACAAATACATGAATGAGTTTGTATGAATATAAATAGGAGCTGCCTCGCATGGGCCCACTATAGGAGCTGCTCCGTATGGACCAATAGGAGCTGCTCCATATGGACCAATAGGAGCTGCCCCGCATGGACCAATAGGAGCTGCTCCGTATGGACCAATAGGAGCTGCTCCGTATGGACCAATAGGAGCTGCTCCATATGGACCAATAGGAGCTGCCCCGCATGGACCAATAGGAGCTGCTCCGTATGGACCAATAGGAGCTGCTCCGTATGGACCAATAGGAGCTGCTCCGTATGGACCAATAGGAGCTGCCCCGCATGGACCAATAGGAGCTGCCCCGCATGGACCAATAGGAGCTGCCCCGCATGGACCAATAGGAGCTGCTCCGTATGGACCAATAGGAGCTGCTCCGTATGGACCAATAGGAGCTGCTCCGTATGGACCAATAGGAGCTGCTCCGTATGGACCAATAGGAGCTGTCCCGTATGGACCAATAAGAGCTATCCATTATGGACCAATAGGAGCTGTCCCGTATGGACCAATAGGAGCTGCCCCGTATGGACCAGTAGGAGCTTTCCCGTATGGACCAATAGGAGCTGCTCCGTATGGACCAATAGGAGCTGTCCCGTATGGACCAATAAGAGCTATCCATTATGGACCAATAGGAGCTGTCCCGTATGGACCAATAGGAGCTTTCCCGTATGAACCAATAGCAGCTGCCCCGTATGGACCAGTAGGAGCTTTCCCGTATGGAGCAATAGGAGCTGTCCCGTATGGACCAATAAGAGCTATCCATTATGGACCAATAGGAACACCTTCGTATGGACCAATAGACATTCTGTAGTTTCAGCAAAGGGGAGGGACAGAGAGGGTGGGGTGTAGAAAATGGGGTGGAGGGGGGGGGGGGTCGTGTAGAGGCAGGCAGGAAATGAGTGAGGGTAAGGTAGAGGCTGGAAGGGTATACGAGGAACAGAGAGAGGGAAGGGAGGTATATATATATATATATATATATATATATATATATATATATATATATATATATATATATATATATATATATATATATATATAGTACCCGGCTACGCATTGCTGAGCCACAGCAACCTTCCCTGTCCCTCAGTCCTCCCCACCATTCCCCCCTCACCCGTCTCCTCGGCCTCCCAACCATTCCCCACTCCACTGTCCCCTCGTCCTCCCCACCATTCCCCACTCCACCATCCCCTCTTCCTTCCCACCATGCCCCACTCCCCTGTCCCTTTGTCCTCCCCACCATTCTCCATTCCCCCATCCCCTCGTCCCCACCATCCCAAACTCCCCGTCCCCTCGTCCCCCACCATTACCCCCCTCCCTTGTCCCCTCCCTCCCCCCATCTCCCTTCCGTCCCCTCGTCATCCCCACCATTCCCCACTCCCTCGTCCGATGCCTTCCCAAATGGTCTGATGTTCCCATCAGAAAATTGGGAACATCAAGTGATCTGATGTTCCCATCACTGAAATATAAGAAAAACAGTTAAAAAATGAAATGAAAATATGAAAAAATAAAAAATAAACTATACTCACGAAATGAACGGTATGGTAAACAACACAGCTCAATTCCAATGCAATTCACACAAAATAATTAAATCAAAATGAAAATAAATCAAAATCTATGAAAATTCAATTTATCAATGCAATCAGAAACATTGAAATGGAATTGTAACATATCTAGTATAGCATGTGTGTTGCTCTTACATGCAACAGATGGCGCTGTTTTTCAAGAAAAGCATAGTTTTACCTGTCACAGGTGTGGCATCTATACTTATACTTACGAAATGAACGGTATGGTAAACAACACAGCTCAATTCCAACACAATGTCACACAAAATAATTCAATAAAAAATAAAATAAATCGAAATCTATGAAAATAAAATTTATCAATGCAATCGGAAACATTGAAATGGAATTCGTGACATATTTAGTATAGCGTGCATGTTGCTATTATGTGCAACAGATGGCGCTGTTTTTCAAAAACGCATGTTTTTACCTGTCACAGGGGTGGCATCTATATAGTAGGTATATAAAAAGACGCGCCTATTCGAATGCAACGCTGTGTCAAAATTTCAAAGCAATCGGTGAAGAACTTTCGGAGATTACAGCGTGTGTTGCTCTTACGTCCAACAGATGGCGCTGTTTAAAAAAAAAAAACATGTTTTTTCCTGTCACAGGTGAGGCATGTATATAGTAGATATATAAAAAGACGCGCCTATTCGAATGCAACGTTGTGTCAAAATTTCAAAGCAATCGGTAAAGAGGTTTCGAAGATTTCCCTCACATGAAAAACAGTTTTTTCAGAAAAAAAAATGTTTTTTTTTACCGTCACAGACGTGACATCTATATAGTATGTATATAAAAACCTGCTCGGATGCGAATGGAACGTTGTGTGAAAATTTCAAAGCAATCGGTGAAGAACTTTCGGAGATTAGCGGTTATGCACAAACGAACATTTCCATTTTTATTTATATAGATATGCATTGTCTACCCCGCCCCCCCCCCCCGGGTCCCCATTCATCGTGTAAAATATGCTTAACTGAGCGCAATGAATAACTATTATGCAAGGGATGAAATTAGAGGATTACTATTTTTTTTAATTTTGTGGGTATTTATTGAATGAATAATATATTTGTTGCAATTATGTTATTCATTCATTAAAAACACCATTAAGGAAACATCGTCTCACAAGGGGTCCAGGACGGACAGAAACATCGTCACACAAAGGGTCCAGGACGGACAGAAACATCGTCACACAAGGGTCCAGGACGGACAGAAACGTCGTCACACAAGGGTCTAGGACGGACAGAAACATCGTCACACAAGGGGTCTAGGACGGACAGAAACATCGTCACACAAGGGGTCTAGGACGGACAGAAACATCGTCACACAAGGGGTCCAGGACGGACAGAAACATCGTCACACAAGGGGTCCAGGACGGACAGAAACATCGTCACACAAGGGGTCCAGGACGGACAGAAACATCGTCACACAAGGGTCCAGGACGGACAGAAACATCGTCACACAAGGGGTCTAGGACGGACAGAAACATCGTCACACAAGGGGTCTAGGACGGACAGAAACATCGTCACACAAGGGGTCTAGGACGGACAGAAACATCGTCTCACAAGGGGTCCAGGACGGACAGAAACATCGTCACACAAAGGGTCCAGGACGGACAGAAACATCGTCACACAAGGGTCCAGGACGGACAGAAACATCGTCACACAAGGGTCCAGGACGGACAGAAACATCGTCACACAAGGGTCCAGGACGGACAGAAACATCGTCACACAAGGGTCCAGGACGGACAGAAACATCGTCACACAAGGGTCCAGGACGGACAGAAACATCGTCACACAAAGGGTCCAGGACGGACAGAAACATCGTCACACAAGGGGTCCAGGACGGACAGAAACATCGTCACACAAGGGTCCAGGACGAACAGAAACAGTCACTTTTATTTCATATAATAATTAGTTTTGTCAGGGGACAGGAAGCTTGCGGGTATAGATGCTTTAGGTCTATACCGAGGCCCCCCACAAGATGGAACTGGTGACCCTCCTCCAGGTTGCAACACCACAACAGTTGCCTAACTCCCGGATACGTACTTATAATTACTACTAGGTGAACAGAGGCATTAGGTGAAAGGATAAGTGTCCAACCATTTCTGTTCTGCTGGAAATCGAACCCGGGATCCAAGATTGTGAAATCGAGAACGAAGCCAACTGGGTTACTTAACATCTTACTCAGGTACGTAAAAATGTCTTTAACGTTGAACTATTGAGTTTGTTGCACGTTTGTTGCAAGTGGGTAATACTAGCAATACTGTGCAACAGTGTCCCAATTAGAGGGGTCCCGGTAGGTCCCAGTAGGTCCCGGTAGGTCCCAGTCGGGTTCCTTCTCGACGCACAGTCGAAAATACTCGGACGGGACAGAAGTGGCTGGGCACATTTCCTTTCACCTAATGGCTCTGTTCACCTAGCAGTGAGTAGGTACTCAGGAGTGAGTTAGTCAGCTTCTTGTGGAGTTGTATAGCGGGTTGGAGATGTATATGAGTGGGATTGGGTGGTTATAAATAGGAGCTGCCTCGTATGGGCCAATAGGCCTTCTGCAGTTACCTTTGTTCTTATGTTCTTATGTTCTTATACATCCTGGGCGGGTTCAGTAATTCGGACATGGGGGGGGGGGGTAGACCTCGATATAAGTCTACGGTGTATTAATACACTCTGGCTGCCTGTATCCCGACATAATAAATTATTATTATATATAGCATTTCAAATGCGCTCAAGAAATAGACGAACATATTTATGTCATTATTAATAGTTTAACATTTAGGCAGGCGAGCGCGCGCACGCACGCACACCGAGAACTTGGAGTATGAAATACCACTAGGCTACCACTCTATCAACATCAGAGGCCCGAGACTGTTCAATACGCTTCCACTACACATAAGGGGCATAACTGGCCGACCCCTCACAGTGTTCAAGAGAGAACTGGATAAGCACCTCCAAAGGGTACCTGATCAACCAGGCTGTGACTCATACGTCAGGCTGCGAGCAGCCGCGTCTAACAGCCTGGTTGATCAGTCCAGCAACCAGGAGGCCTGGTCGACGACCGGGCCGCGGGGACACTAAG